CCCCCCGTCGTTTGCCCGCTCCTAAAGCGGCGGAGCAGCGGACTTGGGTCGCCTCCCCCCCCAGGCTTCCCCAAGTCGGCCGCTGGTCAGTTTCAGCAGCGGCCAACTTGGGGAAGCCAAGGGCAGAGAAGCTGGGGTGCTCTGCCCCAGGGCTTCCCCAAGTCCACCGCTGCTGAAACTGACCAGCTTTGGACTTGGGGAAGCCGGGGGCAGAGCAGCTCCAATTGTCCGACTGGCCAGAGCACTTCTGGGTTCCAGCTGGTGCTGGACTATCGGGAGTGCTGGACCACTAGTTGCCAAACAACTGGAGTTTTACTGTACACAGCTCTTCCAGGAGTTGAACCCCAGATAAATCTGTCTGACTGTGTGTGGCAGGGGTGGGCAATAATTTTTGATGGGGGGAGAGGGGAGGACAACTCCAAGAATTTGGAAAATGGTAGAAGGCCGCACTCTTCCATGATATTAATGGAAGAGGTGTGGGGGTCTGGGATAGAGGTTGATTGCAGAAGGGAGCTTGGGGTAAGTGAGAGAGTTTGGGTGAAGGAGGCAGTTGTGACATGGGGCACTGGACTGGGGTGTAGGGGATTGGATTATGACATAGTGCAGGGAATTAGGGTGCAGGAGGGGGTGCAGGGATTTGGGTTGTGAGCTTGGGCAGGAGGGGACTGTGATATGGGGCAGAGGATGGGGGGGCAGATCTGGGAGGGGATATGGATGCAGGAGAAGGACAGAGGATTTGGGTATGTGGTGTAAGGGACAGAGAGTTGGGGAAGGGACGGACTGGGGTGCCAGAGGCAGGATCTGGCCAGGAGACTTACCAGCCTGCAGCCTGGGCCTGGCCACAAACTGGCCAGTGGGATTGTGCTGGGGATGGGAGCAGCTCCTAAAGCTTTCTCTCCTCCCCTCCATACTCACAATTTTAAAATAAAAACAGCCTTGCAGCCATGTTTCTGAGCAGCGTGTGGGTGGGGCGAGGCAAGCAGGAAGCCTGCTTGGGGCTCCCCGCAGCATCCCCGGGCTGGATCTGGTGGCTTGGCAGGCCAAATGCAGCCCATGGGCCCTATTTTGCCAAGGCCTGCTGTATGGAATTCCATACAGAGTTAAGTACATGAAAATTTACCCTCTTTCTCAGTGTAAAGAGAGATATGCAGACTGTTGCCCTTTCCCATCCCCCGGCACCATTTATTTTGGATATATTAAGAAACAAAAGTGATTTTACTAGGTATAAAAGGTAGGATTTAAGTGGTTATGAGAGAGCACACAGAACAAAGTAGGTTATTAAGCAAAATGAAACAGAACATGCAAACTAAGCTTAATATACAGAGAGAATTGGTTACACATAAGCTCTCACCCTAGATGTGGTTCTAATAATTTCTGCACAGATGGGATGTCCTTCCAGTCTAGATCCAAGTCTTTCTCGTGGTTCATCTTTAGATGTTTCTAACATTCATTCTGGGTGGGATCTCAGGGGAGAACTGACAATAGAATTACCTCACTCCTCGTGGCTGTGTGCCAGATCCGGCTTCTCAGGAAGCACGCCTGCTGTTGTGAGGAGACTTCCCTCCCACACCTCAGGAAGAAAGTCAGGCAGCACAGGAAAGAAAGAGGAGACAAGAAAGCACGCATGCTTCCTCTGCCCACAATACCACATTCACTTTCTTCTCTTCTCTTTCTTCCCCGTGCTCTGGGGAGGCAGGGAGGGTGTTAAGATGATGGCGCAAGATCCGGAGTGGCTTTGTCCATCGCTACCTAGAGATCCTCATCCCTGGAGACCCCCAGGTACCTCTTCCCAGGCTCCCACCAGCACCCTGCCCCCTGCCCCCTGGACAGACATCATCCAGCACCCTGCCCCTGCCTCCTGGCCAGACACCTACCCCCAGCTTGCTCCTGTAACCTGTTTTCCTGGCTTATGTGTAACCAATTCTCTCAGTATATTAAGCTTAGTTTGCATGTTCTGTTTCATTCTGCACTCCCATCCATATCCCACTCACTGACAGCCCTGTCCTGCACACTGGATCCCTAATTTTTGGTCCCACCTCAGAGTGTAGAGGGGCCAACAGAATCCACTAACCCTGGAACCCAGAAGAGTTAATCTGGCTTGAAGCCTTGAACCTCAGACCTATCTTCCCCCCTTCCTCTTCCATGGGGCTGGAGTGCCAGGGGAGTGAGGTGTTTCAGTTGGGGCCACATCAGTGAGGCTTGGGGGGGTTTGGAGGGTTGTTTCTTTGCATCTCATTCACTGACTGATTTTTCTGTGGGTAAGTGGCCCCTGACCCAAAACAGGTTCCCCGCACCTTCCATAAATAAAGACAATGCAGAAATGTTTTTTGTGTTGCACATAATATTTTAATTAAAAATGAAGTCTGGCCAACAAGCCCCCAATTGGGACTAAACCTGCATCTGGCCGCAGCGTCATAATACTCTTGTACCCCCTCCACACTCCAACCCCGAGCCCATCATACACGTGAACCCCCTGCCCTGAGCCCCTCACTTCCCCAAACTCTTGCACCCCCCCATCCTCAGTCTTGTGCCACAATAGGTATTCCTCTCGTGATCTCTCCCCGTCACCCATTTCCAGACAAAGGCTGCATCCACTCAAAGAAAAAGAAACTGGAACTTACTGTAACGATATTTCTCCCAGATGTGATGCAGACGTGTATTCCATGACCCACCCTTCACCTGCTTGCATTAGAGTCCAGTTTCAGGTCAAGATGGGATCATCTCATACATTCAGGACAGGAGCTGTCACTAAGCGGCATAAATACAGGCCCCTTTCCCCATGGCTGCTACTAGGCAAAATTCTCTAGCTCTGATGTACTGCACATGCACACACTGAAGTTGAATACACCTCTGTGTCACATCTCAAAGTACCACAGTTACAGTAGGAAACCACTTTTTATAAAGCAGGGTTGGCAGCCTATGACTCCCGAGCTAAATACGGCTCCTTTGCAGCTCAAGCTCCAGCCTCGCAGCCCCCTGCAAGATTGGAGCACTAGCACCGGTTTCCTGTATGGGTGGGGGGAAGCCCTGACTACAATTGGCCCAGTGCTCTGCCACTTCCTTTCCCCCTTTTCTGGTTAGGGGAACAGCATCGGACAGATGCACTGCCAGGAACTTTCCCTGCTGCTCCCATTGGCTGGAATCCAGCCAGTGGGAGGCCATGCTTGGGGGACAGTGCTGGGAGTGGTGTGGAGCACAAAAGCAAGTAAATGCCCCTCCTCCTCCTCATGCCCAGACCCTACACCCACACTCCCTCCACCAAGATCCTGCACCCCCAATCTGCTCCTGCCCGCTCCCCTGGACAAACAACTGCACCCTCCCCTGCACCCTGCCCCGGCCAGATTCTCTACCCCCCCACCTGCTCTTGCACCCTCCCTCTTGGCCAGACACTCTGCTCCCAGCCTGTTCCTGCACCCTACCCCCCCAATCCAGACCTCACTCTCTCCTGCACTCCACTTCCCTGTCGCACTGACTGGCAGCCCTGTCCTGCACACTTAACCCCTCATCATGGCCCCACCCTAGAGCCGGAAGGGGGGGCTCAAAATCCACTAAACCTGGAACCTCAGAAGAGTTGATCTGGCCTGAGGTCTTGAACCTCAGTCCTTAAATGATTTTTCTGTGGGTCAATGTCCCCTGACCCAAAAAATGTTCTCCACCCCTGCCATAAATAATAATGTTGAAACCTTTTCTGATGGATCTGGCCTCAGCGTCCTGTCCCCAGCCCTGATCCTGGGGCAGACCCCATGGTCCAGCTCCCCCATCTGGCTTCAGGAAGGGCTGAGGGCACCTCCCCCCTGTTGTGGCATAGGTAGGAGAGGAGGCCACTAGCTGGTTGTGGTGATCCTGGGCCATCCCCTTATCCAGCCTCTTCTGCCAGGATATAGCAGCTCAGCCCCGACCAGGTAAGGTAATCTGGCCGCAGGGCTCCCCTCCGCCACATACTCTGTTTTCCATCCCCAGCTCCCTGCTCTACCTCCTGCACCTCCCACATATCCCAGCCTCCTACTCTGAGCCCCTCATACAGCCCAACTCTGACTCCTGCACCCCCAGCAGCAGCAGAAGTCCCATGAAATAAAGTGTGAGCACAATGTTTCATTGATGCTATTATTAATCATTATGTCAGTTATCAGTAATAGTAAGTTGTATGTTTTCAGTCATGCAAATGGGCATTCTCATACTGGCTCTTTGTTGACTCTTGTCCTGAATTTTGTTGTAGTTTGGCTCTTTTTTTTTGAAAAGTTTGCCAGCCTCTGTTGTAAAGGATGCATATTGAATCTGTTCCATGTGCACCGCTATAGTGCAGGAGTGGGGAATGTTTTTTGGATTGGGGGGGTGACTGATTCACAGAAAAATCAGGGAGAAGATTTTGTGGGGCTCCTCTAGGCTCTGTGGTGGGGCCAAAAATGAGGGGTTAAGAGGCTGGGATGGGAGCGAGGTGGGGGCACAGGTTCTGTGCAGGAGCAGGATGGGGATGCAGGTTCTGGGCAAGAGGTCAGGTGCAAAATAGGGTTGTGAATGTTAACCAGTAAGCATCACCCTTAACGGGCAATGCTTACTGGTTCCAGTTAACCAGTGGCGGCTGGAGTGCCTCCCTGTCTGCCACTGGCAGAGGGCTGCTCCAGCCCCATGAGGCCCACCATGGGCAGGAGTCCTCCAGCCTGGCCAGAGCAGCCACTCTCCGCAATGGACCCTGGCGTTGGAACCTGGGGTGCTGCAGGCAGGGGCTGCTCTGACTGGGCTGAAGCAGCCCCTGCCTTCAGCATGTGGGTAACTCCAGCCCAGCTGAGCGTCAGTGACTCTGTGTCCTGTACCCCCACAGCTCCCCTTTAATCGGTTAACTGGTTAAACGGGATTTTACATCCCTAGTGCAGAAGTGGGGTGGGGACCCGAGTGGGAAGGAGAAGAGGTGTGTGGAAGGAGGCTAGGGGGTTGGCATCAGTATTCCCTCTAAGCTGGGTGGCAGCACAGCTTCACAGGTGATTTATCAGCCCCACGCCATCAGAGGCTCAGGGCTCTGTGCACGAGCTGGGCAGGGCTGATTAATTATGCAGTTTAGAGGGAACACTGATTGGCGTGCAGGGTCTGGGTGGGAGGAGAGTTCAGGGGTTGGCAGGGGATGAAGGCGCCTGCCTGGTACAGCTCCCAGGGGTGCACAGGTTGCTCCGGGATGCCTTGCACTGGCAGGCACCAGGAGTTCCAGCCAATGGGAATGATGGGGGGGGAGCCTGCAAGCCAGTGCTTCCCTGCACTGCCATTCCTGGTGCAGAGCCTCTTCCTCACTTCTGCCAAGAAGAGCCCATGGGCCAGATGTGGCCAGCAGCTTGCCTTTATCCAACCAGCGAGGCTCAAGGGCACCACTCACCCCCTGCAACAGGGCGCTGGTGCTCCAGCCACACCAAGGAGGGGAGAGCGCTGAGCCTCGTGGGCCAAAATCAAGGCAAGCCACTGGCTATATCTAGCCCATGGGTCAGAGGTGCCCCATCCCTGCTATAGTGTCTGAGCAACTGAACATAAAACAGCTGAACAGAATATCTATAGATATAGATATATTTTGTCGCACTCTCTTCTTAGCTTGTGGGGGGGTCTTTTAACCCTTTGAATGCTGGTATTTTTCAGTGTGCCAGAAAAAGATGATTATATGTTTGCAGAATCCACAATGTTAAATTTTTCTGAACGTTCTGAAGCATATATGTGTTTCCAGGGCTATGGTTCTGATGGTTTGAAGTTGATATCTCATGAAGAAAGTATTTCATTTGGTGAATCAGTATTGAAGTTGACATTTGATCCTGGTACAGTAGAAGATGGCTTGCTTACCGTGGAGTGCAGATTGGATCATCCATTTTATGTTAAAAATAAAGGTAGGAAAATACTGTGTGTGTAAAGCAAAACTCTCAGGAGTTAAGTAACAAATTCTTCTAAGAAAGTATCTGTAAATCTCATAACCATCTCCCCCAGTTGTTGAAAGCAGCATTCCCCAGTCAGATTACTGTAAATCTGCTTGAAGGAAACACTGGAATTTGAACAATAAAATTGGTACAGATGTTGTATGTGTTGTTTTTTGAAAGTTTTGGCAAATCTTAGTACAGGAGGTCCCCGATTTGTGACCGGCCGAACTCTGACCCCCGCACTTACAACCATTTTTGTAAGTGCAGAAGAGGATGAAAACCCCTGGAACCAATCGCGTCGCAAGTCAGGGGCATCCTGTATATATTTTAGAAATGTGTGTCTGTCCATCTGTTAATCTGTTTGTTCAAGAACTCCTCCTAAATGATAAGGGAAAGGACCACCAAATTTGGTATGCAGCTTCCTCTTATAATTTAAAGCAAGGTCAGGGCTTGCTTCTGCCAGGACAATGGGATGCACCTGGCATATGAATATTTCTCATAAATTGGAAAGGGAGAGGTCTGGCAGAATGGAGTTATATTGTAGAATGACCACAGAGGGTAGAAAAGGGCCAGAGATGGGGACCCGTACAGCTATAATCCCATTGGGCTGGCATGGGTGGAGAAGGGTACAGCTATCTACTATATATTTCAGAGAGTTTGTCTGTCCCACAGCCACGGAATATTCATCCCTCTCCCAGCTGTGGCTACTAGAGCAGCCATGGACAGGTACCTCTCACCTGGCACCGAACTGCTACAGTGAGAGAGGGCTGGAGTTGTCCTCTCTCCCCGGCACAACTTGCACATTGAATCCCTCATCCCCCTGACGCATCCCAGAACAATGATTTAAATGAAGAAAAACAAAACTTGCTTAAGGACCCATGCTGAGTAAATCTTCTAGTATGATATATAGCACAGAAAAGATGAGAGAGAGAAAGCAAATGAGGGAGACTTGAGGTTGATACCACTGTTACTTGGTTTAGTTTTCTGTTCTTTTTTGTTACAATAAAAAGCTGATAAATGAGGTAAAATGAACTATACTGTAGCACTAATTAGACCTGAAAAAGTTTTCCGATTCTGTTTTTGAGGGGAAAAAAGTAAATAAAAACTTTATCTAAACTATTATTTCAAATTTAGTGTTGGGGAAACCCACTTTTTTCTAACTTAATCCTTTACCATTCCAGGTTGGTCTTCTTTCTATCCAAGCTTGACTGTGGTTCAGCATGGCATTCCATGCTGTGAAATGCAAGTAGGAGATATGTGTCTACCTCCAGGACACCCTGATGCTATTAACTTTGATGATTCGGGTGTTTTTGATACATTTAAAAGGTAACCTCTGGATAAAATGGCTACATTGCTTTTCTTTGATAGTTTTATGCAGAAGAAAAGATCCATTATTCTTGTGGGCATGTAAATCTACCAGTATGTGAAAGATGTGCTCCAAGAAGGGAGAGGAATTATTTATGATGGTACAAGAAGGGATAAATAGGAGAGTAAAACTTTATCAGAAAAACTTTCTGATGGTGAAATTTGTTGGACAATGGAATAGTCTCACAAATAAAGTGGCGGTAGCCCCATTGCTTAGGACATTTCAAACAAAACTAGAAAAAGCAGTAGGAAATATACTGTATGGAACAGTCTCACACTGGATAGAGAAGTGGTCTGGTCTGGAGTGAATAATCTAATATTTGCCACTACACTATGAATTAGTGTCTTTAGCCACCCAAACAGTTCCCCAGTAACCAAAGAACCAACTACTATGATATGGCTTTATTGTTTCTGGAATATGATTCCTTCAATTTACATGTTGTCTAATCAGATTTTTGAGGGTTCTGCAGTTTGTCAGCCCTTTCTGATGTGGTTCAGAGAGAAAGTTGTTTTGATAATACTGACTTTTTCATACTTTGTAAACTCTCTAGCTGATTTGGATGCTATCTTTAGCCTCATTACTCCCATAGCTTCCCCTCGAGCAGCAGATTATGATACAGTGGTCACTTTGAACTTTCAGTTTCTGTTGGAAATATTAAAGAGTTTCCTGTTTTATTTTGTTTACAGTAGGAAGACATGATAAATAGACTGCTGAGTGCTCTCCTGTCGAACCTGGTACTCCACCAGAACAAAAAGAGTAGTCAGAGTTGACGGGAGAGCTTCATCTGTTGATTTATTGTGGTAAACAGTAGAAATGTTAAATTTTGTTTAATCAGCTGCTCAACTAGTCGATTGATTTTCTGTCTATTAGTTGATTAGTCGATAAATGGGAGAGCTGCAGCGGGATTAGCTCCAGGCCCTGGGAGCTGACTCCACTGCGTCTCTGCCTTTTAAATGTATGAAGAGCAGGCAGGTCTCCCCACTGTGCACCAGTCTTAAATGTAAAAAAGCTGGAGCGCAGCAGGGGACCCGGCATGAGCGGAGAATCAGCTATCCTGGCTAGGTGCCTCCTGCTCCGCTTCTGATTTTTAAATGTATTAAGAGCTGGCAGATTCTTAATACATTTAATAAGCAGAGGTGCAGTGTCTGGGACTGGGCACGAACCAGGAGTCCGCTGATTCCCAGTTTGCGCCTGATCCCCGCTACTCCTCTGCTCCCTGTGGAGATGGTGCTGGGGGAACTGGCTTTTAAGCTGGCTCCTCCCAACACCAGCTCATGCTCCCTGCCCTCTTGTTTGACTATTGGACATCCTGAAATGGCTATTGGACTAAAACTACTACTGAAAGAGCATCAGGATTGTTGGGGATGAATGAAAAGTAAAATACGGCCTGTCTTCTCCTGTCTGGACACTTATAAGGCCCTAACTGGTTCTTTGGACAAAAGTAAAGAGATCATGAGGCAACAGCTGCTGGCAGCAGGGCAGAGAAAGTTAAAAACCAGACATTCGAGCTCTGCTGGAGGAGGGGTATTAGAGAAGGAATGGGGCTATGGGGAGACAGACAGCTCCTTTCCACATTTCTCTGTCCTTTTTGAGCTGGCAAGTTAGGCTGTTAGCAGCTTACTGTACCCTCTTCCTCTTGTGCAGTTCTTTACTCTTCCATGCAGATTTTGGACAGTGACCATGCCCTGTCACAGAGCACTGAAGGGGGAGATGGAAAACACCTCAGTAGACTAGCGAATCTCAGGATATCTGTCTGATACTATTTCGATCTTCTGTTAATAAAACAGCATTTCCAGCCTGTATCTCTGCCAGGAAGTACAGGCAGGTAATGGAAATACCCATCTCAATTTTAAAAATAAAGCAGTTGGGTTTTATGGATTACGCATGTTTTTAAGTCAGTTTTGTAGTACAGGTTGGCCTTTTAGAGCAGGGGCGGGCAAGATCTGGTCTATGGGCCTGATCCAGCATGCCTGCCCCTACAGCATGGAATAGGGCTGCTCCCTGTGCCTCTCTGTGCTGCAAGGGGAGAGGAGAGGCTTTGTGCGCTACCCCTGCCCTCAGCCAGTTCTCTCAGCTCTGTCCAATGGGAGCTGAGAGATTTTTCCAGAGGTGGGGTCAGTGCAGCACAATTTCTCAGCTCCCATTGGTAAGCACCTCCCAGGTAGAGGCTGCCTCTGGGACCCCACCCTTTCCTGCACTCAACTCCCGCCCAGGTCCTGCACCCTATCCTATGCCCCTCTCCCAGGTCAGAAACCGAGTACCAGCTCCTGCCTACCCCTACCCCTACCCCTTCTGCTGCTGCCTCTGATACAGTGGCAGCAATGGGGGGGCAGGGAGGAACAGGCGGATCCTTGGGAGCCAATCCATGCAGGGAGCTGGCTTAGATGCCAGCCCCTCCATGCATACTGTCTCCTACCTGCCGCTCCCCGCCACGCTGCTGCATCTGATACTGAAGCAGAAGCATGGTGGAAGGTATCTTGTATGTAACCATGAAAGTTAACCAGTGAGCCCAGGATCATTGGTTAAGCATGTACATGTTTACACTTTCACATCCCTAGTCACACCCGCTCCCCTTTACTAAGCTCTCAAACCCCACAAACTCTCCTGCATCCCACTCCCCTACCCGAGCTCCCTTCTGCACCTAACTTCTGTCTCAGACCCTACACTCCCCTCCATATAGAAGTGTGGCCCTCGACCACTTACCAAAATCTTGGAGTGGCCCCCATCAAAAATTATTGTCCACCCTTGTTTTAGAGTGATAATTGAATGGCACATCTTTTTTTAAGGTCATAAGAAAACTGTATTGTAGCCATTTATATTTTCTCCAACTATGGTCCACTAAGTATTTGAAGTAGTGTAAGCAGTTCAGAGTATCATAAAACATGGTGGAATTATGCAGTGTTGTAGCCATGTTGGTCTGCAGATTTTAGAGAGAAAGGTGGATGAGGAAATATCTTTTATTGGGCCAATTTCTATTAGTTAGCAAATCAAGCTTGCTTAGAGCTCATCATGTCTGTGTAACCAGCTAAGAGTGTCACTGCTAAATACAAAGTGGAACAGATTGATTAGCCTCAGTAGTTAATACCCTAAATGGTCCACTGTGAACTATGGGGGTGAAAGCAGGCCATCACCACTCTTGAATTAGCCTGCACAGGATAATGAAAAAAGAGACACACCACATCATCTGTGGGTGAACGCTTTTCATAGAATCATAGGGTGGGAAGAGATCTTAAGAGGCCATCAAGTCCAACCCCCTGCCCAAAACAAAGTAAACACTTTATACCTGGCCTCTAGGCCTTCATCTTCAAAGGAAACCCACATAACACTTTAAAAAGACAAGACTTGGAATTTAAATTCATAATTTTGCTAGACAGTAACAACCATGGACTGAACAGAGACACTGAATTTGTGGCTTAGTATAGTAATCTATAACTAACAACTCTCCTGATCTGCTTCCTTCCTACCCCTTCCTTTCCTCCCAGTGGCTGAGGGGTGTTAAGGAGACATTTCACCTCGAATGGTCACTTGAAATGTGTTAACTACTTACGCTAAACAATCTTTTCCACCATGTTTGTAAGCTCTGCTCAGGGCATCTCTACGCTTGCACTTGGTCAACAAAATTTTTGTTCAGAGATGCTTCAACCCCTTGCCTCTGTTGAAGGACAAAGTTTTACCACAAGTGAAAGTGTGAACACTGCTTTGTCTGCAGGAGCACTCTTCTGCCAAGAAAGCAAAACCCCTCATAGAGGGTGGAATTATTTTCACATATACTGACTTTTAGCGACAAGGTGATGTCCACACAACATTTTCCCTAAAAGCCGTGCAGTGTAGACATCCTTTAACAGAAGTTGGTCCAATAAAAGATACTACCTCATCTCTAATGGTGGAATTCTCACACTTCTGCCACTAGAGGGTGGAAAATTATCATCTCTGAATGTAATGATGTACTGTATCACCTTAATTAAATCATGTATTATAACTGTTAATTTTTCAATGCAAGTTGATATGTAAGTACAAAAGTATTGTATATCAGTGCCTAAAGCAGTTGTTCATGAAGATGTTGTTTATATGTTAGTTTTTGTGAGTACTGTAGTGTGTTTATATATTTGCTGTTAATATGACAATTATAAATGAACTACAAAGCTTTTTCATGGAGTTTTATGGAGATGTTCTGCTTTTCATAGTATTAAACATTATACTGAAGCATATTGTGTATAATAAAAGTATAATTGAGTAATATGTTTATGTAGACTTTAGTCTTGCTTTCAGTGTAATTTTCAACACAGCCTTAACTATGAAGCTTAACTACTGACTCTTCCATAGTAATATATACTCTCTCTCTCTCTCTCTCTCTCTCTCTGTGTATATATGTGTGTGTGTATGTATGTGTGTGTGTGTATATATATATATATATATATATAAGCTTCAGATAAATACTGATGGGCTTAGTTAGGGTCTCTAATTCAAGGGGGAAAAGTAATGTTACTCAGATTTTGTCCACAAACCAAATGCCATTCATAATAGGTTATATAGAAGAGATGTTAAAAATATGTTTAACTGTCTTTTCTGGGTTCCATAACCTCCTCAGCTTAGTCTTACTCATTGGGATTTGAGTAAGACATGTACACTAGTGATGTATGAATCTAAGCTGTCATTTAAAAACAATTGTTTCTAGATGTCATGGTTGTAAAAAAAATCTTGAAAAGGTAATCTATTGCTGTGATTTTTGCCCACGTCTGCTGACAGGAAGGAAGTGGATTGACCCCATATACACTGCCAGGGCAGATTAGGCCTTTTATTGTGTGGATGAGATTTGGTGGTTTTTTTTGGTTTGTGTAGGATTGGCTCCCACTGGTAGAGCTCCTATGCCCTCTGGCCTCCCCTTTTGCTTTCTGAGCTCTGAGTCACATAAAGATGAGGAATTGGTTATACTCTCCCAAGTTCTGCTCACTCTGGGTTCTCAAATGAGCTGTCACTGGGAGCAGTGATATATCAGGCCTTGAATTCAATTACCTGCCTTGAGCTTGAGTAGAAACAAAAGCAGAAGGTGGATTGGGATCCAAAGCAGAAGTAAAAGAAAGTTGTTCCAAAAGAAGGTGAAATGAGACCAGAACTACAACTGGCATACAAGAAGAGAGTCAGTAGTAAACAAGAGCAGATGTAGGACAGTTTCATCCCATAACCATACTGTTGCACATCTACCAAAGTTGTTAACTGGTCCCCATACTAAACCCAGACTAAGCACATCATAGTAAGATGCATGTACATTTTGGGTGAAGAACAAGAACACTTGCAAGTTAATAGAAATGAACAGTGGAACCATTAATTTGGGATTGTTGAGAAATAAACATAGATTTTAAAGTATGAGCTGTAAATTTCATTCTAATTCATTCACTTTCTAATCAAGTGATGTATATTTTCATTCTAGTTATGATTTTACACCAATGGATTCTTCTGCAGTTTATGTACTAAGCAGCATGGCCCGTCAGCGTCGTGCTTCTTTATCTTATGGAGGATCGGGCAGTCAAGACTTCGAGAGATCAGAATGCAGTAAAAACTATGTGTCTGATAGATCATCACAGCTCTCCTCCAGCTCTTTGTGTAGTAAAGCTGGTAAAAGCCACAGCTCAGGGACTGCAAGTACTATGAGTGCCACTTCTCCTAACAAATGCAAGAGACCAATGAATGCCTTCATGCTTTTTGCCAAAAAATACAGAGTTGAATATACTCAGATGTATCCAGGGAAAGATAACAGGTAACAGTACTCAACTTCTTAGTTTTGACCATATAATTGATCTAGCAAAGTTTGCAAGTCCAATTTTTAAACTTATAACAGATTAAGTTTTGCAAATGAAATAAAATGTGTATGTTCTAAGAACCAAATTGAAAGCTGCTCACATAAATCAAAACTTAAGCAGAGGCTTCAGATCTCAGTGAATTTGACAGCCAGTGTCAGGGCAGAAACTGATTTAATATCTACTTACTCTTATTGTAGCTTTATGTAGACTTTATCCTGACCTCAGAAGCATTTGAGCAATGTTTGTGTGTGTGCAGTGCCCATAGACTCAACGAGTGTCTTTGTACATTTTGGTAAGATTTGTTCAGGGTTAAAAATAGCGCGCTATCCTTTCTGTGTTACAGAACAAAAAAGGGATTTTTATACCTTGTCCCCAGTCTCTGTGTCTTGACATAAGATTGTAAGCTCTTTGGGGCAAGGAATGTGTGTTTTTGCCTCTGACTTTACATCACATAGAAAAGTGATCCTGGATTAGGGTATGTAAGTGGTGTAATCCAAATAATAATGTTTTAAATGTTGCTATGCCATTCTTTTGCTTGCACTACAAAGCTTGAATAATCCAGTTACCTAATCACCAGTGAGTAATAGGTAGCTATCCCTGGCAAGAAGTATTAAATGGGTCTAGGTTTCGGTATCTGTGCATACATTTTATATGTATAACACACACACACACACACACACGACATTAAATGTAGATTAATTAACTAATCGACTAGTCGATGGGATTTCCATCGAGTATTCGATTAGGCTTTAAGGGCGTTTCCACTTTTGAACTGTACAAGAGTTCCATTAGGGCTCTTGGACGTTTCAAGGCTGAGGCGTCGCAGGGAGCACGGGGCCAGTGGGAGAGTCCGTGCTGGCTCCGCAGTCCTTGCTGTGCCTCAGTCTTTGAAATGTACAAGAGCCCTAATGGGGCTCTTATGTATTTCAAAAGCAGAATTGCAGCGGAAGTGGCACAAGCAGAGACTGCTTCAGTCTCTGCTCGCGCCGTTTCTGCTGTGCCTCTGCCTCCCTTGGCACCTGTGGAGACGGTGCTGAGAGGAACCAGCTGATAGAGGCAACAATCGGGAGGGGGGGAAGCAACTAGTCGTATCACTAGTCAACTATCCGTCGGCGCTGCTCCTTCCTCTCTCACCTCTCTCTCTCTCTCTCTCTCTCTCTCTCTCTCTCTCTCTCTCTCTCTCTCACTCACTCACTCACTCACACACACACACACACACACACACACACACACACACACACACTATATATATGCAGTTTATATGTAATAAATGTTTTGACCAAGATGTATATTACATATTGTAACCCACACACCTACTGTGAATCACTGTCCTATGCAGTGGCACTTAGACCACTTATAGCAACAGATAAAAACAAGAGACCTACAACCTGGGCTGACAGCCAGCTAGCTTTTAGCTCAAAGGGTAGAGGCCCCTGCACTAAGCTCCAGAGGTCCCAGGTTCAGATCTGTCTGTGGCAGTTGCAATATGTTTGTACATATTGATATAAATGGTATATATATTTTTCTATCTGCATACATACATAAATATGTGTGCATTTATTATCTATAAAATGTTTGAGTAGTTTTATATGCATATTCTGAAAAAAAATCTTTGGACTTTATCTGAGAATAAAATAATTTCTTATAAATTACAGTATTAAACCTAGCAAAAAATTAAAGGTAACAGAACTATAGAAATGAAGGCGAGAGGATTTATTGGCTGCCAGCTTGGATACAAGACGAGGGTGAGAAGGCTTTGACCCAGAATTAAGAATTAAACCTTGTGCACAAGTAACACAACCCTTTAAATTCCTCTGCTCTGCCGTATCATGGCAGTGATGTTCCAAAATGGATATGGAGTCACTTCACTGATGCATCTTCTTCGTTCATGTGTCTGTCTTCAAATTCACTAAAACTATCACTGAAAAATCCAAACAGCCGATTAGAAAAGCATATGATATAATTTCATTTAAAATACTGATTTCAACTGGAGCAAGCTGGGGCTGCAGTTGGATGAATTCCAAGGAAGTTTTAATATTTCCATCTGTAGATTTATGGTGGAAAAATAACTGAATTTTAACAAGTAACTGACATTCTGGAATGAAACACAGTGCCTCAGTGGAAATGAAGTGCATAGGAACGTGTATATGCTTCTCTCTTTAAAAAAAAACAAAACAATCGTGCAGCCTTAGTCGCTAGAGCAGGGGTAGGGAACCTATTTTGGGGCTGAGCAATTGACCCACAGAAAAATCAGTTAGGGTCTGCACACAAGTGAGAAAAAAACAAAAAACCCCACTCCTCACCAGCATAGGCTTCCCAATGCTGGAGGGGGAGCCCCAAGCCTCAGGGTCTGGATCCAGGTAAGCTGGGGGCTGCATCCTGGCCTTAGGTTCCCCACCCCTGCACTAGAGCTGTGAGTTTATTGAGTCTACAAACCTGTGACCATTAAAATAGTCTTTTAAGCATTCACAAGTTTGGATAGGCAGAGGCAATCATCATATTTATTCAAATGTATACAGCTTATCAAATTAAGCAAATTTTATAGTGCATAATGTGCATTTAATTACAGCATAATCAAATAATTAATTGTGAACTCAGATTCTGACTTCCCATTGCAATACAGCTATGCCAATTTTTGGTGTGGTTTGCTTTGCTTACACATATTAAACAGCATACGTGAACTGGCATTCCCACATAGGTTATGTTTTGGAATGGGAATGGAAGGAGAAGGTGGTCACAATATATCCAACCCATCAAGGAACTTAGGCATTGGGATGTTTAATGTCTCAACACCTAATTTTTAGCCATTTAGAAAATCACTGAGATTCACTAAATTTGAGTTAGGTGCTGAATCTTCCTATGCAATGAATGGAGGAATCTAAAGCCAGTGCATTAGTTGTCTCCCTGCCCAACGTAGCCAATAGAAAAAAGAGTGTATCTACCCTGAGTCCAAGCTGGAGGAGGTTGCCTCCCTCTGCTTGCAATTCTCAGTTGCAAACCTTTCCTAGAGTTAGGCACCTATGTTCTTTTTGCAAGATGACTCAGAGAGAGCAGGGAGGTGCTTCCTCATAACTTGTAGGCCAGGGTCAGGGTAATCAAAGAGTGATGGGATCAGAAGATAGGTTTTCCCCCTCCTTGGTTTTGTGCTCTAACCATCAGGTTAAAGAGTCATTTCTATGTGTTTGTCTGTCTTTGGCACAATGTCACTTCAAATAGTTATTTTAACAGTGTAACAACTTCCACTGGAAAAATCGAGGAAACCCAGCATTCAAATATCTCGTAGTCCAGCAGTCAGGGCACTCACCTGACAAGTGCCAGATTCCTGTTTAAATCCCTTCTCTCCCTTGGGATGTGGGGATTTGAATTATGGTGTCCCACTTCATTGCCTTAACCACTAGGCTAAAAGTTTATGAGGGAATTAGGCCAAGAACCCCGTATCAGCCACTGATTAATCAATCGCACTAGGCACAGATAACCAGTTGCTGAAAGTGAGGCAGCAGTGCACATGCTCAGAGGCAGAAACAGCCAACTTTTACTGCAAAAACTTGTGTGCCAAAGATGATCAGTGCCTACAAGATTTGAAAGCAACTGTGCAAGGACCTTGTGAATATATGTGGGGCCTGATCCTGGAAGGTAGTCAGCTAAAGGGCCACCTACACAACCTATATCCCTTTTACAGTGAGCTGTGAAAAACACCCATCCGTAAATCAACATCCCATTTCACACTGGCTTATGCAGAATGCTCCTGCTCCAAATTAGCTTTAGCTGGTGCTTTCAATGTTTCAGGCCTCAGTAAGCTTGATAACCAACATGGGTTCATTGCCATGTGCTCATAAGTGGATTTTAATTCTACACACAAAAATATTAAAATAATTTTGAATAACATTCTACTTATTAATGTGAAGAAAACCGCACATGCATATTATGCACATTAATTTCATTTGGTGACTTCTAGTTCTTATATTATGGGAACAAGTACATAATTTTTCCGTATTCATTTTTACCACACCAGTCATTATTTTATAGACCTCTATCATATCCCTCTTAGTCTCCTTTTTTCTAAGCAGAAAAATAAAAAGTTCTCGTGAGATAAGAAGGAAGGTCCTTTCATGGACTGATAACTGGTTAAAAGACTGGAAACAAAGGGTAGGAATAAATGGTAAGTGTTCAGAAGGGAGGGAGGTAACGAGTGGTGTCTCCCAAAGGTCTGTCCTGGGACTAACCCTATTTAATTTATTTATAAATGATCTGGAGAAAGGGATACAATTTCTCTTAGGTGGCAAAATTTGTATTTGATAGCAAATGGCTCAAGATAGTTAAGACCAAAGCAGAGTGTGAAGAACTTCAAAAAGAGCTCTCCAAACTAAGTGATTGGGCAACAAAATGGCAAATGAAATTTAATGTTGATAAATGTAAAGTAATGCATTTTGGAAAAAATAATCCTAATCCTACATAGAATATGATGGGGACTAATTTAGCTACAACTACTCAAGAGAGAGATGGTAGAGTCATTATGGATAGTTCTCTGAAAATGCAGTAGCAGTCAAAAAGCAAATAGAATGTTAGGAATCATTAAAAAAGGGATAGAGAATAAGACAGAGAATATCTTATTACTTCCATATAAAACCATGGTGCACTCACATCTTGATTTCTGTGTGCAGATGTGCTCGCCTCATCTCAAAAAAGATATATTGGCATTGGAAAAGGTTCAGAAAAGGGCAACAAAAATGATTAGAGGTTTGGAATGGGTCCCATATGAAAGATGATTAAAAAGACGGACTTTTATTCTTAGAAAATAGGAGACTAAGGTGGGGACATGATAGAGGTCTATAAAATCATGACTGGTGTGGAAAAAGTGAATAAGAAAAACTTATGTACTTGTTCTCATAATATAAGAATTAGGGGTCCCTAAATGAAATTAATAGGTAGCAGGTTTAAAACAAAAGGAAGTTTTTCT